CTCACATCCTAATAGTTCTGCCTGCCACCAGTGTAACTTTCAGTGGCCATTTGCTGCATGTTCAGAAATTAAGCGTTTCCTATAATACACTGAGACACGTATCTGGTGTGTGACAGGAAATGCCTGCACTTCTCAATGTGAGGCAATTCACTCCTTAAAAGTTACATTAATGGTGTTATTCCAGCAAGCCTAATAAACAGGACTTTGGTGACTGTAAAGAAAGATCCTTGTTCACAAGATTGCAGTTGAAGAACTATTTATGTGAAGATTCACAGCAGCCCGTTATTACAGTGCATGCACACTGATCCCACATCAACTGTTACTGTATTTGCAACAAAACAAATGCCTGTATGTATGAATTCAGAAGATTGTGTAAAATATTGGAATCCTTGCCTTCGATAATGGAAATGCCAACCCATTGAAAGAGCACTTCTGTTGGCCTGCAGAAGTACTGTTACTTCTCAAGAGTGAAAATCTTAATCTGAAACTCTGCTTTGAAAAATTCTAGTAATTCATTCATGGTGAGGGGGTACATCCTAGGTCCCTCATTGCCAAACTCCATCTCTTCTACTTATCATTAAAGATAGCCAGATCTGCCAACATAATTTGAAATATTCTGAAAGTTTCTACTCTATTTTTCATCTTCCTCAAGGCCCTCTTGATGTCCTTGTTTCTTAGACTGTATACAATGGGATTCACTAGAGGCGGAAATATTGTGTACAGGAGAGAAAAGACTTTGTTCATTGAAGAGGATGGTGGCAGGAGATATACAATCGTCACAGATCCATAATAAATTGAAACAACAGTGAGATGAGAAGAACAAGTGGAGAAGACCTTTTGTCTCCCAGTTTTAGATGGGATTTTTAAAACAGTCCTTATAATGTATATATAAGATGCTAGAGTTACTAGAAAAGGAGGCAGAGTGTAAATAAATAACAAGACTAAATTAACTTGTTCCACCACATCTGTGTCACCACAGGAAAGCTTTCTAAGTGGAACTGAATCACAAAAGTAATGATCAATTTCATTAGGGCCGCAATATGTTAACTGCAGCATTCCAGCCATTATAACGGAAATGCCCGTAAGGCCATTTGTCCAGGAGACAGCTGCTAGCTGGATACATTTTCTTGGGTTCATCATCACTGTGTAGTGCAATGGCTTACATATTGCTAAATACCTGTCAAATGACATCACAGACAGCAAGTAACATTCAGCACCCA